CACAGCAGAAGGCTAAGCTTTATTACGACCGAACTGCTAAAGCGCGACAATTTAAGGTGAGTGACAAAGTCATGGTATTAAGGCCTTCTCAAAAGAATAAACTGGAGGTGCGATGGGTAGGCCCGGCTGAAGTCACTCAAAGTTTGTCAGAAACCAACTATGTAATAAAACTGCCAGGAAGTCGTAAGGTACACCACGTGTATCATAGCAACTTACTCAAGCCCTATAAAGAGAGGGAAGCCATCGTGAACATGACTTTAAATGTTCCGGAAGAGGTTCCGGCAGAAATTCCTGAATTAGCTCCCGAATCGCACGAAGTCCCGATCGAGAAAAGAGTTGAAGATTTAGTATCAAAGTCACAGCTGACAATGAAGCAGAAACAGGAATTGCGTGGTCTTTTGACCGAGTTTCAGGACAGGTTTGTGAGTAAGCCAGGCCAGACATCTGTTCTGACTCATGACATAGAGCTGACATTGTCAGAACCGGTAAAATTTAAGGCGTATCGGGTGTCCCCCCGGCGGCTTGAGATACTTAAAGCAGAAGTTAGGAAGATGCTGGAATTAGGCGTGATTGAGCCATGTGAAAGTGAGTACACTTCCCCTATGATTCTCGTAGAGGCAAAGATCCGCGTCCTTGCATAGACTATCGTAAGTTGAACCTCATCACCAAGGACCAGACGTACCCTATACCATATATTGAGGAGCGCGTCGAGAAGGTTAGTAGCGCGAAATTTATTTCAACGCTAGACCTAGTAAGAGGTTACTGGCCGGTGCCACTCACCGAGAGGGTAAGCCAGTACGCCGCTTTTATATCACCTTTGGGGAAATTCCGTCCTCAGGTGTTGAGTTTCGGCCTAAAGAATTCACCCTACTGTTTTTCCAACTTAATGGATAAGGTGTTGCGAGGACAGGAGGAGTTCGCATTGCCTTACTTGGACGACGTCGCCGTGTTTTCCTCGTCCTGACTGGAACACTTGGCGCATTTGAGAGCAGTACTGACACGCCTACGCGAAGCAGGTTTAACGGTAAAGGCGCCCAAGTGTCAGCTAGCACAAGCAGAGGTACTCTATCTCGGGCATGTTATCGGTCGAGGGCATCGCCGTCCCTCTGAAATGAAAGTGGCAGCTATCCGAGACTTTCCCCAGCCCCGAACGAAAACAGATATTCGGGCTTTTCTTGGAATAGCTGGTTACTATCGTAGGTACGTCCCTAGATATTCCGACATTGCCAGCGCTCTTACTGACGCGTTGCGCAAGACTGAGCCCCAAATGGTCGACTGGGATGAGGAGAAAGAAAAGGCTTTCCGCGTTTTGAAAGCGGCCTTGTCGAGCCAACCTTTGCTTAGTTCACCGGACTACTTGAGGCCTTTCATAGTCCAATGCGACGCTAGTGATAAAGGCATGGGGGCAGTTCTTAGTCAAAGGGATGAGGGGGATGAAGAGCATCCCGTCCTCTATGTTAGCCGGAAACTCACCCTTCGCGAGCACGTTTTAAGCGCTAGCGAAAAGGAGTGTGCGTGCTTGGTTTGGGCAGTCCAGAAACTGGCTTGTTATATTGCTGGAAGCAAGTTCATTGTGGAAGTGGACCGTTGTCCTCTCACCTGGCTACAGACCATGTCCTCTAAGAACGGCCACCTGCTGCGTTGGAGCCTCGTTTTGCAACAATATACGTTTGACATACGCTACAAAAGGGGTGTACTTAATGGCAATGCTGATGGTTTGAGTCGATGCCCCTGACGCGAGAGGATGTCTCGAGAACTCTGGCATATTTTTTTTCCTGACCTAGACAAAGGCTAGTGATTGTTTTTTTTCTCTTTTAGGTGTACTTGTTTGAAAACGTTGAAGACACAGCTATCCAGGGTTTCGGGTTCGATGTGCTTCCAGTGTTGTTGTTTTGTGTCACCTTAACGTACGAGTAACATTTTGAATAAATTGTGTATTTCCTTTAATATCAGTTAACGGGGAAAATTGCCTGGTGGAGTTTGGCGGAATTGTCCGGTGCTCACCGGCTGAGTAGTGGTGTTCTCATGTGCGTATGTGATGTCTGTTGAGCCCACAATGAAGCAGGTGGTGCACTCTACTTCATCAAAGATGGTCGTCACCAAACCGACTGCCGGTGCTGATCTCTCCGGACTGTGGCTGCAAACCTCAGCCCATCGAGATCTTTACCCCCCCGCGCAAGAGACTGTTACGACCGGCCCCAGCATTGGGATCCTCCGAAGGTTTGCGAACCCCTCTGGGAGATCGTCGACGCATTCCCGGGATAGCCTGCACCTGAGACGGCCTTGCAGCCAAGCGAGAACAAAGTGACTGTTACGACCGGCCCCAGCATTGGGGTTCTCCGAAGGTTCGCGAACCCCTCCGGGAGAACGTCGACGCATTCCCGGGATAGCCTGCACCTGAGACGGCCTTGCAGCCAAGCGAGAACAAAGGTCAACGCACTGGTTTTGCGCTAGGGAACCAAGCAAGAGGAGTTGCGGGGAGAACTGGTTCCTGACCGACTGTGTCGTCGACCCCCACCTCCCCATTCAGGCTCTTGCCCATCGCCGGGAGAATTCCGGAATCTGCTGTGCGTTCATGACCATGTTTGGGCATCTTTAGGGCGTCGTGACCATATTTGGGTATCGTGTTAGGTTGTGCCCCTCCATGTGTTGTGAAGTGTATTTCCCCTCCCACGTCGCCGAGGTGCCGGGGCCACCGTATTGGCTGATGATGCGGACAATGCGCCCAGTGTTGGCAACGCGGCGCTATAAAATGCCGAAGACGTTTTGTATGTCTCTCTCTCTTCTCTCTTTGGATCAGTTGATCACTTCTCAACATGTAAATAAATCTGTCGTTCGTTTGGGCATCTTTAGGGCGTCGTGACCATATTTGGGTATCGTGTTAGGTTGTGCCCCTCCATGTGTTGTGAAGTGTATTTCCCCTCCCACGTCGCCGAGGTGCCGGGGCCACCGTATTGGCTGATGATGCGGACAATGCGCCCAGTGTTGGCAACGCGGCGCTATAAAATGCCGAAGACGTTTTGTATGTCTCTCTCTCTTCTCTCTTTGGATCAGTTGATCACTTCTCAACATGTAAATAAATCTGTCGTTCGTTCAGGCGCTTCTTCTCGCTGAATTGTCGGACGATGGATCCTGCGATGGGTCCAGCTACCGAAAACGAGACCGGCAGGACCCGGAGTCCCAACACAGCGCATCCATCCCACGTTCGCCCCGTAGTAGATGGCATATTCGGCGGCGCGGGGCGCGTACAGTGCGAACGACGCTGCGTTTCGGCGGCAGGGGAATATCGGTCGCTGTAGAAAGCGGATGTTTCAGTGTGAACTAGGCATTAGAGAGTGCGCGCGTGCGGCCGTGCCACCTCTCGTTTAGTACTTGGAATGTCCGCTGAATGGCGGTACTTCTATCTGATGGATATATAACGAAAAGATGCGAGAAATTGCGGTACTTGGAGTGTTCACTAGGTGGACGAGAGGATGGACAGATCCATGGACGGATAGACAGACACATGCACGAACGAATGGACGGACGCATGGACAGATGAACGGACGCACAGACCGACGAACTCACGGATGAACGCACGGGAGACGGACGCACGGACGGATGCACGTACAGACGGATGGACGTACAGATGATCGCACAGACGGACGCATGGACGGGCGGAAGCAAGAACGAACTGGCAGATGGAGGCGCGGACAGACTGACAGACGCTTCGACTCTGTCGTCATCATGCACGCCGTGGATTTTCTTCGATTTTATTCATCTCTGAGAAGCAGCCTCTGTCAATAACGTTCAACAAAATGTAACGAACTGTCACATAGCCCGATTCTTTTCTGGGTTTCTGACGGCCCTGAAGGACAGTTGTTTAAATATCTCGACAGTTCTCACGTACCTAGGGAATCAATGTGATGAGAAGCATGCGAATAGTAGGGGACTGTGTTGTATTTTTTCACTAAGTGAAATGTTACTAAGTGGCGCTAAAGATACTTACAATGCACGCGCAGGCATTCGTTTAAAAGCCGCATATGTTTATAGAACCAGTATTTGACAGTTGCATTGCGGTGGTAGCAGCTACATGGGTTTTAGCAACAGCATACTGATCTTCGTAAGAATAATAGCCACAGACACTGCTGCATAAATCAGCTTCAACGGATAACACCTACGTACAATTGATGTAACCCGACATGAGGGCTGTATTGTAGGAATACATATGTAATGTTCACAAAACTGCATAGCGAATACTGCAACCGCAATGGATGTTTGACAAACTTAAGAGTCTACTTGAGAAGTAGTTACTAGACCAGTTGTGGCTCTGTGGTATATTTGATTTCCACACAGTGCAGGAGTTCGGTTTCTGCTGGGGCCCTAACATTTATCATTAAAATTCATTGGGTCAACGTTGCCGATGTTAGCTTTTTCTTAATTCTCCCGCGTCAAAATTGCCCATGCGTGTCCTCCTCGTTCCTGGGTAGATACTAAGTGTCAAGCACCAATGGCACATACCCGCATACCAGGGGCACTTACCCACCCACGTGTATGTGCCTAGCCTGGCGGAAAGTGTATGATGACGCACGAGACGGGATTGTGACATTATTTATGGCATGACCAGCGAGGCTAAAAATCAAACAACCTTACCCTTCCATACTAATTTTGGTTTTGACCCAAGTTATGGGGTGATCATGAGAGTACCCAGACGTAAGCGGCAAGCTAGCTATAGCCAGCTAGAGTAATAGATAGTTATAGATATATAGATCGATGATCAAAGTGCCTGCAATACGCAAACAAATTCGTCACTTGAAAAAAAAACATTAATAAAATATTCTTCTTCTGGTAATGCAGTTAACGTTAAGACTTAGCTTCCTATCATTTTTACCATATTGTAGATATAGGTTTCTGCACCCATTCGAACAATCGTTCTGTTTTATTTTATTTGAAATGTGGCAAGTTGAAGCCTTTTAATGTACCTCCCTACTACTCATTCATATTCATTCAGTCTTTACAGTTTATCATTACAAAGATTCCATTTCCCTGTTTCGTGAGACAGGTGACCAAGATAATGAGCCGCCTGGAGCGGTACTTGGTGCTGTCTGCGCTGATTCTGACCAACGGCGCTGATCACTGCTTTGCCGAGGATGCAGCCGACAACCAGGACCTTTTCGTCATGAACTCGGACCCGGCCCTAGGACAGCTCTCCGCCAATGAGAAGGTGAGAACGATTCGGGAGGGGTCAAAGTGTGCACTCCACTCTCGCGTAACCTGGCATCTTGTGAGCAAGAGTTTGTCTTAGCTTGCCTATTTAGTTAGGTGTGAAAGCCTGGCTGGTTAGGTCGCGTAGTTAATGAATTTATTTATTTGATTTGTATACAAAGAAAACACAAGGCACAGGGGAAATAGGGAGGGAAGGAGATAACAACTGCCACCTGTTGTGGCCCGATGTCTGCTTGGTTTTTTGAGAAGAGGAAGTATAGAGGAAAAGAAGGCAGGGAGGGGGAAGAAAAAACAAATGAATAGAAAACAAAAACCGAATAGAATCGAAAATAAAAAATGAAAAGAAAACACTCGTAAACACAAATATAGTCAACGGAAAAGTGTTCATAAACGTAGGCAAATTGGTTTTCTTTAGAAAAGTTAGCAGGGCACGATGAGCCTGATTACACCAAGTACACATCTTCTCGGGAACAGGCAATCGTCGTTCATTTAAGTCTGATAAGTCCATATTACTTCTTGAGCAGTGCTCGCGGCGCAGGGAATGTCGGACACTATAAAATTATATGTTCTAGTCTTCCTAATCTCATCTGCACACCCAACTTTCTTGTGCCTATCACCCACTTGCCTTCCCTGGAAATCTATTAAGTTGCACTTAATTAACAGAGCGTATCCTGCCTACGCGCTACATGCCTGGACCATGTACAATTTTCCTTGCTTTCATATACGATATCCTAAACCCCGGTTTGTTTCACGACCCACTCTGCTTTCTCCCTGTCTTTTAAGGTTAACGCTATCATTTTCCTTTCTGTCACTCACTGGGTCGTCTTTAATTTAGACTGTACTGTCTGTACAAGTCTCCAGGTATTCTGCTTCGTAGGTAAATACCGGCAAGATGTAGCTTTCTATACCTTCCTCTCGACGGATAGTGGCAATCTAACAGTCATGATTTTAGAATGCTTTCAGAATGTGGTCTACTCCATTCTAATCACCTAGTCAATTCAATCTCGTGGTTTGGCTCTGCGGGGACTACCTGTCCCTAAGTAGACGTACTCTTTTACAATTTCAAGTGCACAGGATACCTATCTCAAAGCGCCTGTTCTGTTGTGAAGTTCTTGTAAATTACTTTTATTTTCTGCCGACCTTGGAAAAGTGAAGCAATGAACGTGATAGCAACAAATTGAAAAGTCACGCGCAGAATGAAAAGCAGATCGAAACGTGCCCCACGTTTGTCACTCACAAATGACGCACGAAACGTACTCACAGGTACCAAGGCATGCGAATAAGCGTCTCAGATGTTACTTCACTGTGCCTAAAAAGCGCGTGCTTTTTGCAAATGGAGACTGCAATGATTGCAGTGAACTTTGTGCACCAGTTAACTACAACAAATCATTCCAGGTAAAACCCGAAGCCAGCCAAGATGTACGATCCTCCCCTCCTCGCTACCCCGAAATAAGGGTGCGCGAGGGAGCATCACTCCCCTCCTCTAAGTGGGGCAAAGTTTGCGTAGGAGATTGGAGCGCGCGCCGCCTCACGCTGTGGTGACGCGCGCTCACTGCGCCATCTTACTCGCAATGCTGAAAACACAATAATCCCCCCCCCCACCCAGATGCCCGTCAGCAGCGGTAGGTGGTAGATATGAATAGCTTGCCGTTTAAACTGTGAAAGACGTGCTCCTTGGTGGCTCAGTCATTAACGCCTCACACTCACGATTTAGAGAACCCAAGTTCGATTCCGCACGGTGGAGTCTTTTTCGGTTTTTTTTTTGTTTCTTGCATTGCCATATATATAGATACGCATACTTATACGGTGAGTGATGCCGGCGCCGGTGGCAAAATCCAGCTGCGAGTTTCCATATGACTGCTATCACAATAATAATAATATTAGTATGAATGTTAATAATAATAATAATAATGATAATATTAATTGGCATACGCAGGAGAACGCTGCCACTGCGGGTGCTTACGCAGGCGGCAGTGGAGGCGCGCTCGCCGAAGACTACGACGAGCCGTCGGCGTACGAGCGACGTCTCCTCCTGCAGGGGCTGATCAGCAAGCGGGGATTCGGCGAGCGAAGGCGGCGCGGTTTCGGCGAGAAAAAGAAGCGCGGCTTCGGCGAAAAGAAACGAGGCTTCGGCGAGAAGCGGCGTCGCACGGCGGCCGCCCATCACAGCCTGCTGGCCGTGCCGTCAGCCAGGACGCCGTCGGGGGCTCGGGTCCTGCTCTTCGAGAACCCTTACGAAGGCTCCATACCGTAGCTGTGGGCGGCAACTTTCGGAATAAAAATACTTCGTACGGGCCGTGAGTGATCGCTGCAGGGAGGGAAAAACTTCGCATCCAAAGTAGCTATGGTAACAACGCAAACTGTCAGGCTCAAAAACATGTCAGCTGTAGCAGCACCTGGGACGTGTAGGTAACACCCTGCAGCTACTGCTAGTGACTTCGCACCTATTTGGTTGCGAGAACGTACTTTTGCACAAAGTCGACTTTAAAGGGACCGTACTGCGTGACGACGAATTTGTGAGATAATAAAATATTGAAGAAAAATAAAATATTCGCCTCATTGACTTGTGTGACCTGTTATAGATTGTCTGCTATAGTAGCACCAACTAATAACGAAGATAATTTTCCGCATTAGTTCATCGAGTACCTTACATTGCATGGACGGACTGTCGTATTTTTGCGGGCAACATGTTAGCTTAATGCTATAAATCCTGCTACCATCTAGCAAGTGAGAATCGACTGCGGAGCGTCACATGGGGCAATATTGGTGCCAAAATCTAGCGGGAAAAATTTACACATACACAAGCACCAGGACAGATTAAGACAATACTGGTGCAAGAAGCTAGCGGGAAAAATTTGCACATACACAAGAACCAGGACAGATTAAGACAAACGCTACTACCAAATGTTTATTCTTTCAGCCTCTTTCCAAAATATAAGGTTAAAAGAGAGCATGGAAAAGATTTTTCTTGGCTAAAACTCGAATAAAAAAATTTTATTTTGTAAACTCGAGGATCGAGGTATTTGAATTGCGTTATTGGATATAATACCAGAAGTAAGCATATCTAGTGGTGTTAAACTAGCATACAGCTATTTGGCTCTGCCCATGCAAAATCACAATATCAGTGTTTGTGTCCTTTTGTTCAATATACCCCTCCCCAGGCTCTTCCTCTCTTTGGCTCTTTCTCGTCCTGTATCAATTCACACATCAAAACCATTTCAAAGGCTCTAAAGTGGTCGGTCATATACACTACAGTGGCTATAATTCAAAATCGTATTGTTGCAAGTGTTGCATTATTGCAAACCCAGATAGGAGCAAGGGAATAAATACGAACTGAAAAAAATAAAATGATGAGAAAGAGCTTGCATGTAATGGTTAAAAAAGAACTAGTCACATGTTGCCTGAATCCAATAAAACAAAATCTGAACGAAAAAAAAACATTCCTTCCCCTAAGTCACCTGATTCGGCCTGTTCATTCGTGAGCAATGCACTGGCTACCATCAAAGAATAAAATACTGATGACGGACAGTGTTACTTATTAGTAAAGGCAGAAAGCGTATCCTAAGTCAATACACCCTAAAGTCTGATATACATTACCTCGAATTATTTAGGAAGATAAAGGCACTAGAATGTACGGAAGCGAATGGTAATGAGAGTGAAGACAGTGCGTATACATTCCGACTGATGTTCGGGTCTGCTGCTACAGGGCAACACCGCTTCTTACGCTGACCTTTTCAACGTCACATCATTTCCTTCAGTCGTGCCTCCGCGAGTTGCTATATGCGATGCGCATTTACGCAGGCCGCCGTAACACGTTTGCTTCAAATGCGGCACAGCGGATATCAAAGGGTGACAACCAGAGAGCGGCCCCAAAGGCGCCGTTGCGTGTGATCCCTTTCGTGCTAAAAGCAGGCGGCGGCGATGTAATTGCAGCCCAAGCTCCAGCCATGGTCGCTCTATTCGGCTGTGTTCGCGGCGAGCACCGACAGAGATAAGCGTCCACCTACGCGACGCATTGCCGGGCCAACGGGGGCAAACATTACCTGCGTGTGTTTTCTGGCGTGTACTGGCCCACCGGGAAGAGCACCGGATACGTCGCTGCACCGGAAGTCAACCTGCACACGGCAGAATGCACCCTATATAACCGCCCATAAAAAAAACAAGGTTGAAACAGCTTACCCTCAAATCCACCTATTCGTACAATGCGTGTACTATAACGATTCTCAAGCTTATAAACAAGTCGTGTTTGGACCTACGGAGCTGACTTTAGGTGCGAGAAATAGTAGAAGTGCTAGCGCCACAGCAAACATATACGGGTAAGTGACACGAGTCGCATTCAGTGTGCTGGCAAGCTAGGCGAAACACGAATACAGCGCTGCGTCTGGCCTACCTCAAAGGGATACTAAAGAGAGAAATGTTTTTTTTTTTCGTCTGTACTACTTCCGATACCAAAAGCAACACACTTGCTGCAAAAAGATGCTTTATGAGCACGAAGGAGCGTGTAAAAAGAGTGGGTGACGACACCACATAGAAATTCCCGTACCAGTTACTGCAACGTCATAAATCTTGGTGGTGTCTACTACGGTTTACCAACTCTGTAATCGATAAAAATGAAGTACATTGTCTCTTGAGGGAGACGGAGTCTTAACATACATCGTTTCAAGAAATTTGTTTGAGCCACCACGGCCAGAATCCTAAAAACACAACGGCATATGTTACATCGGCATCAGGTATATTCAGCGGAAAATTTAGTGGTGACACTAACAAAACTGATTTTATTTCTATTAACAAACTTATATGGTGGTGAAATGAAGGTCATTGAACTTTTCAGAGTATAATTCATCAATGTGAACTAATATATTGTTTCATCTTTGTGCATCTTTAAAGAAGTGCTTAGGTAGAATAACTGTACGAAAAGTCGTCACTGCTCTTTTGTAATGGCAGGAACCGGTGATGCGTACGAACTGTAGTGAAATTACTTTACGCTTGCCTGTAGTTCTTACAGCTTTCTGGAATACACAAACATGTAATAAATATTGATGGGGTTTAAGGTCTCACCTTTTCAGTTGTACACAAAGGCTCCTTCACGTTTCTAGTCAAAACCTATAGTGACCTTGCTTTCGAATTTGCTGTGCCAAAAAAATAGATGCGTTTTTTGTTTTGTCTCCTTTCTGTAGTAGTTATACAATTTTGATTTCATGTAAGTCATTAACGAGGTCTACATGAAGACTCAAAATCAACACATGATTTTCTTCTTAGACTACAAGTTGGATTTTTTTTTAGAACTCTTATCGGTATAGCATTTCTTCTTTCTATTTCGCGGTTGACAGAACGTTTAGCTTTTAGTCCAATAACTTTAGAAACTATCGTTGCCCTGTACGATTGGCTAATCAGCGAAAGCTGAAACATGCGGCCCCAGTGTTCAGCAGTGGGTTCAACCCAACGTGGCACTGAAGCTCTCCTCCTAATTTTTGGTTACATGTTCGTGCTCCTTATTTAGGTTAAGAACACGTTTAGCTTTAGTTTACCACAGTGTTTAATTTTACATGCTGCACATTGTGACTAGCATGATCATAATCATGGATGAGTGTAGTGGGCAGATAAACGCACTTCGCAATGCGTTCATCCCAGAGGTTGCTTTTGAACCACTGGCAGTCACAGAAGTCGCAGCCGAAGTCCAAGTGCTGTGGGAGAAACTTCAGCCGAAAGCGGGCGTTTGCCCCGGTGAATACACTCCCGCAATCATGACATTGACGCCGTAACGCCACTTTTTCGGCACAGGCATTGTGCCGTGTTGCCTGTAGGCAGAGAGAAATTAGGTGCCTTTTAGGGGCGAAGCTCCTTATAACGGCACCCGTTCGTCCCCCGTAGTATGTAACAAGTATAACATTTTGACCTCTAAGGTGGTGCCGGTGAGAGACTTCTTCTGTGCGTTGTTGAACAATAAAAAATAGTGCTCAATGTAGATGTCAATGGCTGTTAATGGGGAAGGAAAGACAGGAGCATTCGGCTTTTAGTTAACGCGCAGGCTGCAATCACCATTAGCAGCCATTGGCATGTACATTGAGCACTATCTGACAAGAAAGTGTTGCTACGTTATATTCGCTGGGTGTAACCTTCTTAGCTTTAGAAATGTTTAGCGAGCGTTGAGCCGCAGTGCCATGAATATAGTGAACTTGTATATACCATGAATGAACTCGAGGTGGTTAAAAATGGGAAGTAGATACGAAGCGCAAGCCGTAAGAAAGTAAAAGCCGAATTCTCCGCCTCTCATTTCCCATTAGCAGCCATTGGCATGTACATTGAGCACTATCTGACTGAAAAAGTTTGCTACGTCATACTCGCTAGGCGTAACCTCCTTGGTTTTCGAAAGGTTTAGCGAGCGTTCGGCCGCAGTGCCATGAATACAGTGAACTAGTATATATTATGAACTCGAGGTGGTTAAAGGTGGGAAGTGGACCCGAAGCGCAAGCCGTAAGAAAGTGTGCGTGTGCCACCTCTTGTTTAGTCCTTGGAATGTCCGCTGGATGGCGGTGCTTCTATATGGGGAATATATGATGAAAAGATGCGAGATGGTGCTACTTGGAGTGTTGAATAGATGGACGAACGGACACATAGACAGATGCATGTATGGACGCATGAACGGACGCAGGGGCGGTTGCATGGACGAACGTAGGGACAGACGCACGAACAGACGCACGCACGGACGGGCTGATGGACGCATGGACGGTCACACTGACGGACGCATGGACGGACGGAAGCAAGAACGAATGGATGGACGAATTCTTCGCCCCACTCTCCATCATTCACTCCGTGGATATGCTGCCATTTTTTTTCCCTCATCAAGAACTACGCATTCATTGTTCGGCACGGTGTTGTTGCAAGCGTTTGACATCGTGAGCTAACTCGGTGGCGTGGTTTAAAAGGTCCGCCCACTATCCCGGCGCTTGCATACGCGTTCACAATTAAGCGCGGCTTGGATGGCTGCCGGATTATCATACGCAGTTTCTGCCGGCACTCGGCATACCAGGCCTGTCTTTATGCCAGGATTCCACCATCGGCCCGGCGAATGCGAGCTTTCTCGCGTTTCGATAGTCGGTGCTCTGTTAGAGTCCATGTCATCATGGCAAACACATGTCGAAGGTTTCAGGAGAAACAGAAGCACGCGTGCATGGTGCCGCGATGCCACGAGATGGATGACGTAGCTCGAAACACAGCCAATGGCACGCGTGCTTGGGTACGACGCTGAGAATCGCGTACTGATAAGACAGCCAATGGAGAATGACACCGCTGCCATGACACCACTGCCGAGCAGTGTTTGATTTATGCAAGCCATATACAGCTTTCGCTGTAAAATGGTTCGTTTCTATAGTGCGCATATTTCTGTCGATCTAGGTAACAAGCGGAAATCCTAGCAGTTACCCCTGACACAA